CACCTCTCTCCCATCTCACCTCATCTCAAAGAAGACAGGAGATAAATCTCCTCAGCACAAGTAACGCTACTTATATTGGTGAGAAAATTTGACAATGGCTTCAGCTAAGTGGCAATATGAACGAGGATGTTTATATGGTATTTTTATATTCCCAGTGTTGAGGAAAATTCTAAATACACGTCCACAGGCAGGCAACTGTTTCATGATGTTAGTACTGGCCCGAGGGATAATCAGGTTATCTGAAAATTACTGTATAGCTGTTATATTTCAGAGAACATGATTTGACCTGCATTACGACCAAATCCACACAATAAGACATATAATAATGAAGAAATAATCCCTGTGTGTTGTAACCAAATTTTTTGTTTCTTGCTCATGAATATGGGCATAAGTAGGCATAGATAAGAACATAGAACATTCTTGATCAATCTGAGAAATATATGCAATTGACAATGTAGAAACTATCACGATTATCTAGTGGTTACTTCAGGAAAGGGAAGTAACGAGTCTATCTGCATCTAATATTGTCCTAGACATTTAACACAGGACATTTTATACTTGCTCAAGGACATATAGAGATGTGAGAAAGCTGATAATCAAATCCAGATTTTTCTAGCTTGTAAGTCCAGACTTTTGCCACTGAGCCACATCGATATGGATATAAAATGCCATCCTCAAGTCCCAGGAGGAATATAGGTGATATTCACCGCTACAAAATCCTACTCCAATAAATGAATTATAGTAGCACTGTAGGTTGTAGTGATAATTATATAAAGTGCTCTAGACCAGTACCTGGCATCAAGTAAGAGTTCCATAGATGATGATAGTAATGGTGATAAAGATGGTGTTTAAGGAAATTGTTTGAATGGCATTTGTCCTATTTCTCATTAGGTTTGATTCCACCAAACGAGCTGCACACATGAATCCTTGTGTGCAGGATGAATCTTCTTCATCACGTGTTTTTTACATATAAATACATACAACCAATCAAAGCTACTAAGACATGATTACTAAACAGAGTGATCTGATGCTGAGCTAACTTCAGGGAACAATTCAGGAGTATGAGACATGGTCCTTGCCTTTAATTCCAAATTCCAGTGTGGTTGGAAAGGCTAAAACAAAATCATAATAACTTACAAAATTATTTAAATAGTTTTATCGAGCCCCTCACTCGCCAAACGCATGCAGAAATCGCTGTGGAATGAATGTGCGTGAAGTGATTGGCACAGACGGAGTCAGAGAGGCAGGAGAAAAAATTGAGATGATGTCCCATGAAGTGGCAAAGGAATTTACAGACGGGGCGAGTGGTCGGGGAAGATGGAGACGGTCGGATCTGGCAGTAAACCGATTTGCTGATAAACTTCAAGAGCGTAGATAAGAGGGGGCCAGTAGATAGCTGTGTCTCGGCGTGGGTTCTTGCTTAACAAAGCACGTCTCGGAGGCTCTAGCCCGTGTCCCATGAGCAGATGCCTCGCTGGGCCCGGGCTCCCATCTGATTGCTGCAGCTCTTCTGCAATGCCAAGTCATCTCCTCTCTTTCTTTTGAGCATATAAGTGGCTTGAGGCAGGAGTTTCAGAACAATTCCCTGAAAGCTCTCTTCCTTCGCCTCCCTCTATCAACTCTCTAAGTCAGGCGACCGTGGTAGTTGCAGTAATTTCAGGGGTTTATTGCTCAGCTATAAAAATTGTCATGATATCGAACCCCAAAATGACTGTGGCAAATGTGCGGTAATTACATTTCATTAAAATTCCTAGTATGCTTGCCACTAAGAAGATTTCAAAGCTGCTCGCTAATTACTCTATCTAATAGGGTCTACGGCTTGTTCAGAGGGTCCACGGTATAGAAAATCATTGGCATTTTTCTCGGTTGCTCTTGTTTTATTTAAGAATGTGTATCGGGGTATGTATACATCCAGTATATGTGGGTCTATGCGTGTGTGTACATACGTATGCATTCACATAGGTATGCATATTTAGTTTGTGAGATATATCATCAGTGCCCGGGATGGTGCCAGATCTCAGGTTTGGTTTAACTCATCTCTTCAGGAAAGAACACCACTTCCCTCATCTCTGCCCCATAGGACATTAGTGATGAATTTGGCTAATGGGGAAATGCAGGTTGGATTCCAGATAGACCAAATCACTAAAAATTCTGCCTATACTTTCTGTTCTAGAGGAATCTACCTGTCCCCTCAGGTCTTCCAGGCCAAAAAAAAAAAAAGTAGAGGTTTTTTTTGTCCTTTTTTTTAATGCATCGTGGTTATAAAACTAAGAAAGGTTTTCACTGTAGTTATGTGTTTTAAAAATTAATGTTTGTACTAAAATTGAAATAAATCGAGCCACAAAAGACAGAAGGCTATTATTTTTCAAGAATAAAGTTAACCGTATTTTTCTGTCTTATAGAAAATAGGGCACTTCTAAAGCTGCTACTAGGCTGTAAGTAAACTCTGGGCCCGCTGGCCATTTCTTTTGCTACCATAGGCATTAAGTAGTGAACTCTTAGTTTTTGAACACTGGAGTTAGAGATTACCTAGATAGATGGACAAGTCTTAAAGCATCTGGATGTAGCCAAATTCAAATCTGGAATGACACTCAAGCACCACGGATTCCCAAACTTTTCAGAGCTGTAAAAGCTTATGAATTATTTTGCTGACACTTCTTGTCAGCAGAAATTCCGTAGGGCATATAGTTATTTCCCAATGGAATTGTAGATCAGCTTCTGAGAGTTTTTTTTGAGAATCTCATGGCACCTCCTTGAGCTAATGGGATGTGTCTGGAAGTGCTACAAACCCAGGCTTGAAAACCACTGGTCTCCACAGTGAATGGCAGAACCATGGAGCAGGCCACACACGGCTTTCTGCTCAACCTTTACAAAGACTAAGTTCTCTCACTTGTCAGCTGACTGTGGGGAGAAAGGAAAGAAAACTAGTTACTCTTACGGAAAGCACATGGTCCTGCCTGTAGAGACAAGCTGGTAGTGTTCCTCTGTTCAGCTGGAGTCATCTTCTGACCTGATTACATCAGTACATTTCTAGACACCGCATCCTTTGCCTACCTACACCCCAACATGCGTATATCCCTCTCAAAGATTCATCCACCTGAGCTACTTAGACCTAAATATATCTCTTTTGCTTCTGCCATGGGTTCCAGCTGCAAAAAGGTCCAGTAACCAGTTGCAAATTGAAAGCAATTGTTCTTAACCCCAACTGCACATTAAAATCACCAGGAGAGCTTTTGAAACTCCCAGTGCTCAGCCGTGTGTGAGAACCACTGAGCTCCCATAACTCCCCAGTGCCTAATCAAGTTGACTTTACTTGTTTTTTTAGTTCAATCATCTCTAACTTAGTGAGTCTTCGACTGTTCTTGTCTGTGTTGCTTTTTCATGGCTTCACAAATAGAATTAGTTGCCTTGTCGCTTGAGTCTGCTTGGAATGGAAATGATGGACATTCAAGATATGCTGGTCAAGTCAAAAAAGAAGATTATAACCTGACATGGCTCGAAATAACCAAATGCAATAGCACCAAGAGTGTGTGGGGGCTAAAGCAAGATCAAAGCACAAGCGCTAGGGATTCAGGAACTCTATGGTAGAGGTGCCAGGCAGCTCTGATAATTCAACATTGACTGAGGGCATATGGCTCCAGTAAGAGAAAGTAAGCCAAGACTCTGCATCTCGGTCCACTGTGAATAGTCGCACCCCATTCTGTACATGAGGGTCATTTGTCTGCTGACCAACATATCTGGGATCCTTGACTAAACTTTACCTTGCATTAGGTCACTTTGAGATGAAAATGTAACCCAAAGGATGGTGCAGGTACAAGGAGAGGGGCTGATGAGATCATTTTGTGTGGTGCATGGAAAACCATCTTTTATTCGATAATTTTTTATTTATTAAAAATATGTAACTGGCACAACAAATACATAATTTTATAGGTACTGTTGCTTTGGCCACTGTTTAGAAATGTGTCCATTTAAAGAAAAATATGAGTAATTGTATACAGGTGATAGTCACATATGGAACGAAAACCAGAGACAAAAGTTTGCTAACACCACGGGATAGCATGTTGTAACAACCGTGGTCAGCTTCAAATTGAGGTCAGTGTTCTTCCCAAACTACCATTTGAGGGGGCGAGCGAGGGGAAGAGAAAAAGGAAGAGGAAGGTTATTAGGTCTTTAAGTAAGACATGGAGGATCCCATGAAATGCCCTCAAATTCGTGAAGTGCTCTTATTTCAGCCAGATTGATACTCAAGGAGCATGGGCAAGGGGGGTGCGGGGGACACTGAAGCCGATGCTGGGTCCTATTGATCTAGAATTGAGCCTGCAGTATCTGCAGAGGGCATGGTAGAAGGCTCAAAGGAGAAAACCCAGGGCCAGCTCCCCCCAAGCTTGGTCCCTTGGGGAGGTGAACAATGTCTCCTCCCGGGTAGCTCGCTCTGCTGGGCATGCAGGATCTGTAGAAGGCTATAGAAGAGGCACAGAGAAAACCTGACACGTTGGCTAACGCCTGGGGCATGTGAAAGCTGGCCCGCTCCATGGCAGACTCTGATTAAACTCATCTCTGTCTTCTTCATGTGCCACTCTTCCCCGGTTTGAGGCCGGAACTCGGGGGCCGAGACCAAAGCAGCCAAGTGTGTTTTTCCAGAGAAAGAGGGGTCTGGCGAAAACAGCCCCAACAGCTGTGCTCTGTGGCTTCGCTTTTATGTGTTTCGTTCAAGACTCTGTTTAGTCTGGATACTGGGGATTTATATATCAATTTTGGGCTCTAGTGTCATGGAGGTGGTTCTGATTTCCAGTGATTTCGTTGTCATCTGCAGTTGCCTACAATGAAAGAAGGAGCTAAGGGAACCAGGGGGCAACTTATGGCAGGCTCACTTAAAAGCCTGCCTTTCTTCCTCGGCTCTCCTTAAGGGGTTTCCCGTGCTTCCAAAACCTAAGACAGCAGTCCTTAATAAAAAACACCTGGAGCGGGATGGGTAACCGGCTTTCACGTTGCTTTTGCAGAAGTGGCAGTGCATCGAGGACACCTCTGGCAAGCTTCGAATTCACAAGTGTAAAGGATCCGGGGACCTGCTCACGGTCCGGCAGAGCACGCGGAACCTCTACTCTCGCGGCTTCCCCGACAAAGACAAAGAATGCAGTTGCGGAGAGTCGGGTTATCGTGCAGGCAGAAGCCAGAGGAAGAGTCAAAGGCAGTTCCTGAGAAACCAGGGGACCCCGAGTAAGCTGCAAGCAGGGACTCTCGCAGTGGAAGGCACAGTGCTTTGCGAATGGACAACAGGGAGACAAAAGGCTTGCTCCGTCTACATTTGAGATCTTATCAATGCATAGTTTTAGCGCAAAAAGCAAAGGATTGTTCTGTTTAAAAGAGCAAAGCTAAGTTGAAATTTGGGGTTTGTGGACATTTTTAACTTAAGTATAAAATGAACATATATTCAGTAAAAGCACCAGACACAAACTACACACACACACACACACACACACACACACACACACACACACGAAAGAACTATAAAAGGGTAACAGGTGTGGCTAGGGGCAGAGTGTATAGTTTAAGTTAGTTTTATTTTACATGAATGCTAATGTCCTGATTTGTCTGCCTTGAGGTGCTTTAAAAAAAAAAGGAGGAAAATAAAAATTCAAAGTTTCATTGCTTATGCGTTTAACTAATAAGAAAAGCATAAACACTTTTTTTAAAGGTACATCTGTTGTAAGACAGTTATTTTTTTTTAGTTATGGTTGAATGGCAAGGTCAAACTAGTCAAATTCAATATGAAAAGCACTGCCTAGCATTTTCTTTATTAAAATTCTATCAAGGCAACTATGAAATTCCTAGGATTATACAGATGGGAAAACCGTCTGGCACCTTCCATAAAAGAATGAGAGTCTAGTGCCATCTAGTGGCAGAATAGGAAAAGTGACTCATTTCTGTGGCAATTCTATACTGGTTTGGAAATAAGATATATTTTCTGTGTCACTTTTTTTTAAGTAGGCTGTACACACAACGTGGGGTTTGAACTCACAACCCCAAGATCAAGAGTCACATGCTCTACGGATTGAACCAGCCAGGTGCCCCCCACGTTGTAAATTAGGAAATCAAATCAATCACTAGAACAACAGAAGCTCTCAGCACTGCCTTTTTTATCCTGGACTCCGCAGATGGATTTTAGGGGATCGTGAGCCTTCTAACATTTTATCCAAAATGATAAGTCTATTCTGTGTGCATGTGCACATTTTTTCTGGATGTCCCTAACTTTCAACACACTCATAAGGGAATCCATAACCCGAAGGCTGAGAATGATTGATTTGGGAGATTTTTTTTTTCCTCCCAGAGAGAAAGTGCCAGGTTTAATAAGTCACACAAAGATATCAAATGGAAAGCTAAAAAGGGACGAAGATTCCTGACACTCTCCCTTAAAGGAAGCTGATTACCAGTGTTGGCATTGGAGGAAGGGGCAGCCTCTTCTCTCCCCAGAGGTTAGATGTCACTCCACAGCAGTGACCATAAACACCAATTTTGTTCAACATTGAGCACAAACTGGAGATGTCTGGGGCCGCTTTTTCAAAGCACATGGAACCTCACATATTTGAGGGCAGAAGTTGCTCATGAGCACACTCAGGGGCCTGGTGACTGTCACAGAGGCCTTTCCTCTTCTGGAAACTGCCATCACTGTGGGATCCCGTGGCGAGCGCGATTCTGATTCCACACCCTGGGTGTTCCCCTTCTTCCTATTTTAGCAGCAGGCTGGAGAAAAAAGGCCCCGTGAGTATGCCCCCTCAGAGCCAAAACGCTTCTGATAAGGAGGGGCCAAGGTTTGCACTCTTGTCTAACACACTATGAGCCTTGAGCACGGTCTACGGTGACCAGAAAACATGCTGGCCTCCCCCTGGCATTGCCCTCCATCCGCCAGATATTAAAAGTCAGATGGCTGATAAAAAGCATTTGCAAAATTTAATTTTTCTCTATTCTTTGTACAAATAGAAGGTATCGAGAGCATTTACCTTTTTAAAAAAACAGCCCAGTGTTGTGGAAAGACTGCAGCCTTTAGAATCTGGTAGATTAGAGTCCTAGTTCCCACAGCTGTTGGCTCCATAACCTTGCAAAATGTCAGTAGCATTCAGAGCTTCAGTTTTCCCATCCTTAAGAATCATCACACCAAATTTATGAGCCTGTTCTATCTAATAAGTTTTTTTAATATGAGGATTTATTATAATAATACAGGTCTTCCAAGATTGTGGATCAGAGATAAGTATGAGGTGAATAATACATAGCAAAAGCCCAATCAATGATGGTCACTATTATGATTAATACCATAATTGGGAATATAGTTTTATCCAAACAAACTGCCTTAGCAGTTCATGTTGAAAATGCAGTATGGAAGTTCACAGCCTGCTGTGAGTGGAAAGGAACTTAGACATCCCCCAGATGTACCCCCCACTGGAGGGACAAAGGGCGGAGGCCCAGGGGAGCATGCCATCCACCACGCTGCTATGCAGCACCCAGGCTCAAAGAAGAGCCCAGCCCTCCCAACGTGAATCCCAGTGGGCTGCCCGCATCTCCCCAGTGCCCCTCCACAATGCAGTTTAAACTGCTTGCCCTTCCCAGAATGCTCACTGAGCCAGGTGGTGCCTTTCCTCCCTCCTAAACTACACCTGGACATCCATATTAATGTGTCTTCCCTTATTTCCAGAGTACAAGCCCAGATTTGTCCATACCCGGCAAACACGTTCCTTGTCAGTCGAATTTGAAGGCGAAATATATGACATAAACCTGGAAGAAGAGGAATTGCAAGCGTTGCGACCGAGAAACATTGCCAAGCGCCATGATGAAGGCCACAGGAGGCCCGGAGGTGCCCAGACTGCCGGCGACGGGGACGTGATGCTGGCAGACAGAGACAACGCCCTGGGCCTGCCCACCTCCGTCCGAGTGACTCACAAGTAGGAAGGCTTTAGGTGTTCACGGGGGCTGAATTTCCAGTCATGCCCCCCTCCCCATTATCCCTGTTTTGCTTCTTTATCAAGAGTGATATCACTCAGCCGTACAGGGTCCGGAGGCTGGCCTACAGAACAACTGGGATTTTTAAAGAAGCAAGGGGGAGTCCAAACAGTTGTACATTTGGACACATGCTTTGGGTTGGGTTTCACATGAAGGCTGATCAGCTGGGAATTTAGCTAGAGTGGTTCTGTCACATGTTTGTGGGTTCTTTTAAAGATTTTATTTATTTATTTGACAGAGAGAGACACAGCAAGAGAGGGAACACAAGCAGGGGGAGTGGGAGAGGGAGAAGCAGGCTTCCCATGAGCCCGGAGCCCGATGCAGGCTCGATCCCAGGACCCCGGGATCATGACCTGAGCCGAAGGCAGATGCTTAATGACTGAGCCAGTCAGGGGCCCCGGTTCAGTCACATCTTAACTTAGCAGGCATGGAGCTCTGCCCTTGAACAGTTACCTTTGTGGGAGTCTAGGGAACAGATGGAAACCATGACTGTCACTGTAGAGGCTCAGAGCAGTTGTATACTCGTAGCCCGAGGAAAGACTGCGGGTCCTAGAGAAGCTTCCAGAGAGGTGGGATGTGTTGGAAATGGACATAAGATGCAGAAACACCTAACTAACCTGGGCAGATCCCAGAGAGCATGGAGGGTCTCGGGAGTCATGGAGACAGGGAAGGAGACGATTATCCCACAGCTGTAATGAACCACCTTGGTTCTCCATTTCCTTCCAAAATCCAGTTACTCTCTTGATAGAGAAAAATTTTCTTTCTGAATTTATTAGCAAAGTTTTTTCCTCTCTCTCATTCCATCACTTTGGGGAGGACTGGTATCATGACCTCTGGCAGGATTTTTATCTTTGGGACTGGTCTTCCCGTGCCTGTACAGTTGATCTTGAACAAGGCAGGGGTTGGGGACACAGACCCTCCCCCCACCCCCACTGTTGAAAATCCACGTATAGTGTTTGACTCCCCAGAAACTTAACTACTAGTGGCCTACAGCTGACCAGAAGCCTTAGTGATAACATAAACAGTCGATTAACCCATATTTTATATATATCATATACTTATTCTTACGATTAAGTTAGAGAAACAGTGTTATTAAGAAAACCATAAGGAAGAGAAAATATGTATACAGTACTGGCTGTGTTTATCCAAAAAAAAAAAAAATCTGCCTATATGTAACCCCATGCGATTCCAGCCTGTCGTTCCAAGGTCAACTATAGTTGTTAGAGTTAGACACTAGGAGACTTAGATCAGGATTTGTGTCTCTTTCAGTATCGATCGACCCTTTATCCCAACTTTTCTCTATCCCTAGGGCTGTTTCTTTGCTTCAAACTGAATGGGATACTTGGAGGCAGGCTCTTTGTAACAAAACGAATGGGATAAATAACCCCCTTCTAACTGCATTGCTCTAATCAGACAACTTACTTCCATTATAACTGTGGAAACTTCCATTTCCCCTACAGTAGTTGATGAGACTCTCAACACTAGAGTTTTCTGGCGGTAGCTGTTCCTGGGGACGTGAATATTGAACGTTGCTATGAAATGGGATCTTAGTAAGGGTCTCTCTCTGACACCACCCTTACCCCAGCCGGCTGGCCAAGAGACATTCCCACGTATCCTTCCTTGTCTATGGCTCAACTTCAAACTACTGCTTGCCTCCAAATTAAGAGTTTAGAAGACAATTATGTTCCCTTTGCTATTTCTAATGGGTTTAAACAAATATTCGCATATAAACCTATTTCTAATGTTTTTGGTTTGTTTGTTTTTGCAGGTGCTTTATTCTTCCGAATGATACAATCCACTGTGAGAGAGAACTATATCAATCAGCCAGAGCCTGGAAGGACCACAAGGCATACATTGATAAAGAGGTTAGCCACGGCTGTGCGATTGGAAGGTGTATTCCAAATGCAAACTCGGCTCACCAGCCCCCCGATGACTGGTGGGGCTCGCTGTGTGTCCACTTCATTTTTTTTTATGATGACAGTTATGTGAAAAATAGGGTAGCAAGGTATTTATCTTTCCCTGGGGATGTAGTGATCGACCTGCCTGAAAACAAAATAGGGTGTGAGAAAGTAGTGGGGATTGGCTTGATGACCTGTTGAAATCTCCATGAGGAAATGATCCAGTCGTAAGTGAGGCATCTGTTAATGTTTATGCACAGCACATCAGCAGGAACATCGTGACAGACATACTCTGTGCTCAGTTTCTTTCCAAGTTAATTATCATCTCAGCAGAATAGCTGGAATTACGGAACACAGAAAACAAGGTGAAAAGAGGGGCACCCGGCATAGGAAATCCTGATCTTCAAATGTCATTGTTCAAATATGTGTCTTCCAGATTGAAGCCTTGCAAGACAAAATTAAGAATTTAAGAGAAGTGAGAGGACACCTAAAAAGGAGGAAGCCAGAGGAATGTGCCTGTAGCAAACAAAGGTGAGTGTGCGGCTACCTCATGGTCTTACTTCCAAACTTGTGTTTCCATAAGCTCCAGGGATAAGCACTGGGCTTGTTTATCTCTTATACCAATAGAAAGTTTGGCAAACTGAATTTGTTATCATATACTGTAATGACCTAAACTCTTGGTCAAATGAAATATGTCCTAAACCTAAGGTGAAGGTTAAAAATCCCCATTAAGCTAAGATAGTTAAAGTAATCACTTGCCTTCTATTCTTCTTTCTGTTTATAAAGTGAATTGTCGGGGCGCCTGGGTGACTCAGTTGGTTAAGCATCTGCCTTCAGCTCAGGTCATGATCCCAGGGTCCAGGGATTGAGCCTCACATCGGGCTCCCTGCTCAGTGGGGAGTCTGCTTCTCTCTCTGCCCCTCCCTCCTGCTCTGCTCTCTCTCACTCTCTCTCAAATAAATAAATAAAATCTTCAAAAACAAAATAAAATAAAGTGAACTGTCTGATCCAATGTGAGACTACGAAGACTCACTTTTCAATCTTCTTGCCCGTAGCTATTATAATAAAGAAAAAGGTGTAAAAAAGCAAGAGAAGGTGAAGAGTCATCTCCACCCATTCAAGTAAGTGAGTCTCTGTTTTCCGCATTTGCTGGGAGTGGAGGACTGTCCACTGGGCACTTCTGAAATGTAGTAGGGACCCCTGTCTTCCAAGTGGTGCTGCTTCCAAGCAAGCAGATTTAGCCAGGAGGGCACAGAGCTCAAGAAGTTGAAAACAAAGCCCACACCTTGCCAAGAGACTATGGGGATGCTTTTGGAATCCTTGAGGGGGAGCCACGAGGAGTTCTGCTCTAATTCTACATGTGTTTTCTGTCGATGTATGGGATGGTAACTGGATTTTATTCTATGCACTGCTTTTTATGAACAGTGATTGGGAAATGGGACCGTCTTGATTAGGTTGGTGTGTTCCATAGAGTAGTCTGCAATCGTGCTGAATACTGAACGTTGGGAGAAATATACATATTTTTAAAATAACAGTAAAATTTGCATGTGAAGGGGATTTAGTTTTGAGCCTCAACAAAAGTTGAGCCCTTTATGGAAAAAACAAAATAATAACAAAAGGAAATTCTTTCCAAGTCATCTAACCGTGCTAACTATTGACTTTATGGCTGATGAGTACCGAGTCCCCACGGAGTTAAGCCATTTGTCCAAATGCTGTGGCTAGCGGGATCCATGGATTCATGTTGACATTTATTTCCACCAGTGTTTCCATGTAAATAAGGAAGAAAATGTTGATCCTTCCAGGCTCAGTAAAATTCTAAGAGAGTTGTCACTTCATGAGTTTGTCTTCACTCTTGCCAATTACAGTTCAAGGCCCTCTGTGAAAAATAAGTCATCCATTATTGTGTGTCTGCCTATTTGTGTGAGATTCATAACAATGATAGTATTTTTCATTGGGAAAGTGCTTTCTGACCATGAACATATCCCTTCTGTTGGAACAGGGAAGCTACTCAAGAAGTAGACAGCAAGCTGCAGCTTTTCAAGGAGAACCGTAGGAGGAAGAAGGAGAGGAAGGAGAAGAAACGCCAGAGGAAGGGGGAGGAATGCAGCCTCCCTGGCCTCACCTGCTTCACCCACGACAACAACCACTGGCAGACGGCCCCATTCTGGAACTGTAAGTATTGTGTGGTTTTGGTTTGCGGGGTGTTTTGCTTTAAAAATATTTTTCCCAGTTTTGGGGTGCCTGGGTGGCTTAGTGGGTTAAGCGTCGAATCTTGGTTTCGGCCCAGGGTTGTGAGATCCAGCCCCACATGGAACTCCTCACTCAGCGCGGAGACTCTCCCTCTGCTTCTGCCCCTCCCCCCACTCGTGCTCTCTAAATAAATAAATAAAATCTTTAAAAAAATAAATATTTTTCCCAGTTTTATTGAGATATAATTGACACACAGCACTGTATAAGTTCAAGGTGTACCGCATAATGACCTGACTTCTGTGTATTGCGACATGATGACCACAGTAAGTTCAGTTAACATCCGTCACCTCATCTGAGTTGCCAGTAACTGCCGCCGTGCAGAGAGACAGCAACTCACACTACAGTTACTAAGACTAGGGCTTCAGCAGCATGAAACCAGGGATCTAGAATGATTCAAGAGGAGAGTATCATATTATTTTCTGTACTGGCAACTAGAATGATCTTGCCAAAAATTACAGTTTTCTTTGGAAATTTGTTTTTGTGTTTTATTTGGAAATGCCAAGTTCGCCCTGGGTGTTTCTCCTGATGGTGTTATTTCACATACTGCCCAGCTCCTGGCAGAGTCCCTACCCAATGAGACTGGGTTTAGTTATATCTATTACTAAATAACCAAATAAATGGGCGAACACTCTTACCTCGAATAGATTTTGTTTCTGCTTTATTTCATATCATGCTCTAAGTGTAATAAAAGGAAGTGAAAACCCCTTCAATGCAGGGGCTGTATTCTAATTCTCAGTCCCTTTTGGAACCGAGCACCATGCTCACAAAAGAATAGGGACTCTACAAAATACACGGTTTTACATGGAATTGCTGATGATATGGAATAATAACAATTGTGCGCTTTTTTTTTTTTTTTTTTGGAGAGAGCGCGCGCAAGCACCCGTTTGGCAGGAGGGCAGAGGGAGAGGAAGAGAGAGAATCTTAAGCAGGCTCCACACCCAGCGCAGAGCCCAATGCCGGGCTCGATCTCAGGACCTTGAAATCATGACCTGAGTCAAAATCAAGAGCTGGACACTTAGCCAACTGAGTCACCCAGGCGCCCCAACGATTGTATGTTTTTAAAATTCACACTTACATGTGCTTTAGTGGCCTATGCACAGTATTAACTGAGGTTATCTAAGAATAGTGCCCTAAATTTTTGTGACACATCATCTGATTGAAGGCTTACCATCCCAAGGGGTAGCTAAAACTACAAATCTTCTCATTGAAAAGATCCCAGGATACCACCTGGGGCAGTGTTTCTCAAAGTGGGATTTGGAGACTCCAGGAACCCAAGACCATTCTTGGGTTCCAAAAATCTCTGAGGATTTTTGTTTTATCTGTCCATTCTGATGCTTTTTGATTTCAGTGCCAAGTTTGCATTTTCATTTCCAGCCACTTCAAGGCCAAGTAAACTCTTAAACTCATAGCATTTCACTTTTAATCTTGTTCCCTAAACTGGGGCGTGAGGATCTCTGAGGATCATTCAGGTTGCGGGGGTCCATTCCCCACCAAGTTCTGAGCTGGGGCACAGGAAACACAACAATCTGAAATATCGTTTCTGTGGGGCAAGGATGAATAGATGGAGCAAAGTGGATCTTTAGGGCAGTGAAACTACTTTGTATGACACTATACTGGTGGATACATGGCATTATACATTTGGCAAAGCCCATAGAACATACAACACCCAGAGCAAACCCTAATGTAGGCTATGGACTTTGGGTGATGATGTGTCAATGTAGGTTCATCAACTGTCGCAGATGCATTATTATTGTGAGGGATGATGATAGTGGGGAAGGTTGGGCATCTGCGGAGATGGGGTAGTCTCTAGAAAGTCTCTGTGTCTTCTCAGTTTTGTTGTGAACCGTTTTATGCTCTAAAAACTCTATTAAAACAAAATTTGAAAAAATTTCTCATTCATTGTTTAAAACATCTTTTTCAGCTTAAGGGGATAGTGTATTTAATATTAGATGGGGGGGCACCTGGGTGGTTCAGTCAGTCAAGCGTCTGCAGCTCAGGTCGTGATCCCAGGGTCCTGGGATCAAGCCCCGAGTCGGGCTCCCTACTCAGCAGAAAGTCTGCTTCTCCTTCTTTCCCTCTCTCTTTTTCTCACTCTCTCTCTCTCAAATAGATAAATAAAATCTTTAAAAAAAGATACTGGATAGGGGGTTAAGTAGCATGTAATGGTTAAGAGTATACCCTCTAGGGGCACATTGGTGGCTCAGTTGGTTAAGCATCTGCCTTCAGCTCTGGTCATGATCCCAGGGTCCTGGGATCGAGTCTGTTATCAGGATCCCTGCTCATCAGGGAGTCTGCTTCTCCTCTCCCTTTGCCCTTCCCTACTTGCGTTCTCGCTCTCTCACTCATTCTCTCTCTCAAATAAATAAATAAATAAAATCTTTAAAAAAAGAGAGAGAGTATACCCTCTAGCCAGACCCCTAATGCTGCCACTCGTCAACAACTCGTCATGCACTGTGTGACCTTGGATAAATTACTTAACCTCTCTGTGCCTCATTTTTCCCATCTGTAAAATGGAATAACATAATTTCTGTCTCTAAGGTTCTTTTAAGGACGAAATGGGTTAATACATACAAAGTACATAATGAACATTGAATGCTCATTAAGTGTGCCTATCCCAATTGTTTTAAAAATATTTGCTAGACAGCATATTTTTAAAATTCAATTGTCATTGCAAGAAAAGTCAAGAAATTTGGAAACTGCCTTTCTATAAAAGATCGGGTAGTTTGTTTTGTTTTGTTTTAATTTGACATCTGTTTTATATACTTTCCATCAGTTAACCAGTGAACCTCTGCATGGTACAAAACATGTTCATGGTCATAGCCCAGTTCATGTTAAAACACTGTTGGGGCACCTGGGTGGGTGCAGTCAGTTAAGTGTCCAACTTGGTTTCAGCTCAGGTTGTGATCTCAGGGTCGTGAGATTGAGCCCTGAGTTGGGGTCTGCGCTCAGCGTGGAGTCTGCTTGAGATTCTCTCTCCCTCTCCCTCTGCCCCTCCCTGCAACACGCGCGCTCATGCGTGTGCGCTCTCTCTCGCAAATAAATAAATCCTTAAAAAAAAAAAAGTTGCTACAAAGATCACAAATAATCCCCTCTTTCTGTGCACCATTTTTGAGGTGTGGCCATGACACAGAGAACAAGCAAGGGCACCAGGTCCATCTCTGTACTATGCAACTGTTTTTTAAGAAAAGGTAAGAATAACCAGAAATAAAAGTTCTGATCATTTCCTTCCCATTCTCCACTCACTCGCTCTGTTTCAGAGACCACTGCCTGACGGTGGGGGGCAAACTAATGTGCCTAAAACTTCACCTGGGCCTTCAGTCTGTATTCACGATCATAGATTGCCACTGTTTTTCCCATTTTCCACCGCTTCCCACAGCAAATTCTTTAGATGGGGAAAATATAATTTTTTTTAACATCCAACCACATAGTAGTTACAAGACAGAAAACGTGCCCCTTTCAGTATAAAGATAAGGAAATGGTAGAATGGCTAGCCTGCCTCCATGTTTTGTTTTTTCATTCTTTTCATTTTGTTGTTCTGTTTTTACCAACAGTGGGATCTTTCTGTGCCTGCACGAGTTCTAACAACAACACCTACTGGTGCTTGCGCACGGTTAACGAGACACATAATTTTCTTTTCTGTGAGTTCGCCACTGGCTTTTTGGAGTATTTTGATATGAATACAGATCCTTATCAGGTAGGTCGATACATTTTCATGTAATGAAGTTTGTTGACGATAAACTAGCCAGAAGCTGAGCTTACCTTTCCTGTCCTGGCATCTTGGTCCGCAGCTCACAAACACAGTGCACACGGTGGAACGGGGCATTTTGAATCAGCTACACGTACAACTCATGGAGCTCAGGAGCTGTCAAGGATACAAGCAGTGCAACCCAAGACCGAAGGGCCTGGAAGTTGGTAAGGGGGGGGCGGGTTCCTGTATTTCCTGGGAAATTCTCTGTGTCGAGTTTTCTGCCTGTGAAACGTCTCTAGGCATAGACGTACAGAGTTTGGGATACTTACAGGGGAGACTTCCCAGGCAGTTCTGAATATAATGTGTTCTCAAAGTTTACCTCTGGGAGCATTAATGAAAAAGCTAACGCGCCCAAAGATTTGGTGAGCGTTTCGTTTCAGTTTCTCCCACACGTTGGTTCTACTAGTAAAGCTTCCTGAATGAAGCATCCACTGGCAGATGGGACGAAAGCATGGGGGATTTATTTGTCATTGCTGCCAACAGGCATAATACAGACTCTAGGTAAACCGGGATATCCTCAAATTTTTAGGTTAATTTGGACGGAAACACCCAATGCCCTGTTTCTGCTTATCACACAGTTGGGAGCTGCCCCGGGGGGATCCCTGCCCAGGACACAGGCAATTAGATTTCTTTTACCAGGATTTCCCCTCTGAAACTAGAGATACTTGAGTAATGCATTGTCTTGGGCTCTAACAAGCGTTAGAGGGCCCATACGGAGTCAGCCAAATGTTCCCTCCCCGGGCTGCCGCGTTAAACTAACTTATCTCTCCTTTGGTTCATAGGGCCGCAGTTCTTTTCAGTCTGTCCCTGCCCTTTCCTAGTTGATGAGAATACCGATTTTCTCCTAATTCCGGTACAACTGTAAATTCCAGTAGTCCACAGAAGGAAGGAGAAAGAGCTAGCTCTGGCAAGGGCATGGGCATCAGCAGAGCCTGCCAACCCCAAAAGGGCGAAGAGCGGGACTCCCCGGCAGTGGGGAGCGCTCTGCAGGAACCCCTTGTGTGCAGCTGGGTTTTCTCAGCATCCTTAAAGCCGGTGTCTTGGGGTCCCTGGCAGAGCCAGCATCACCAGCACTAGGTCATGTGACTGAAAGGGGGGGCCCCATTCCCAAAGGATCAACATCCGCCACCTGTCATTTCCACCATTGTAGGGTCCTGAGGCTTTTGAGCAGCAAAGGTCCCATAAGAAATTATAAACCCTGTGAGATGGGTCACCTCACAGCTATCAGCCAAATTTCTCAGTTAACACCTTACTCAGATGAATGCCCCACAGAAAAGTCCAGTCCTGACTTCCAAAAGAAGTCTTTTGATCACAACCCCACTCAGCTCAAATCTTTTCAGATATCTTGCTTCTCTGTTTGAGCTTTTCCTCAAATCTTAGCCCTCCACACACCAAAAAGGGGGAGGGGAGCCCAGTAAGGCCTAGAAATTAAACCAGTTATTAGAAACACTAGAAATATTACACCCAGACATTTCTCCCCCAAAAGACCTCGCTCTCTTACAGGTGATGACGTAACTGCCCAGAGAAGTCTGACAGTCTCTTGGGTTGACACACCAGGGGGAGCTCATGATTGCCGTTCGGCCCAAAGTAGTCCTCTCCACCTTCTAGACGATTTCTCAGGGAGATGATCATTGGCCCTTTTTTTTTTTTTTCCAAGTGTCTTGTCTCAAAATAACCAACATTGTACTGAGACTGACTGGAAGGACTTCTCTTCCTGCTCTTAAATGGGCTCTCCTCCTTTCCCATTGCACTCGTGTTTCAAATGAACTCCTCTGCGTTTTATCTCAGACCTTTTTATTTATAGCTTTCAATCCTCTTTTTGAACCTGTCTACTAGAAAAGCTCTGTGGGACTCCAGCACTGTCTGTATTTAACACAATCTATTTCTTTCTAGGATTTAGATGTTGTGCATGGAAACCCACGTAGTGAATGGTTTTATGAGTTCTAAAGCTAACATAAATTACTCTTGTATTTTCCTATATCAGGAAATAAAGATGGAGGAAGCTATGACCTACACAGGTATTCACACTTTTTTATTCTCCCCCCGCAGCTTCTTTTCCCAATAATTGCATGATCCAGCCATTTCAACTAATTTCTGTTTCTCACCATGTTGCACAGAGCATAGTGTGGGGTGCATGCATGTGCTAACAGCATTCTCCACCAGATTGTGTCATTGGATGCAGATCTGTCATTTTGCTTTAAATCAGCTGACTGTCACCGCAGGATGTCTCTCAGGGCATTTACTCCATGTGTGTTTGCTCATTAGATGATGCTTTTAAGCATGGAATGGTGTGAAAGGTGGGGGGGGGGACCCAGAATGACCTTTGGGAGCCCTGGGGAGAGGTTGGGAGAATGATTTCCCTTGTGGTGCTTACACGTTGATTTGCTGGAGAGGCTTCATGGAAACTCGTTCGAGATTTTTATGAAATATAACGTCAAAGACCCAAAAGGAGTAATGGGAATTTCGAGAGCATTCTGAAGCTGAAGTTGGAGGAAATAGGCGCTTCCTTGTTAAGAGCCCTTAATTAACTTGGGTGGGGAAAAGCAGCAGTGATACGATTCAGAAGGCTCTGCAGGGTGGTAGCTGGTGAGCAGAAGGCGCTGGGGTTGGGGACAGAGAGGTCCTTGCATCAGCACAGAGACGATACCGCCTGACACACCCAAACCTCATAAACGGGCCTCAGCCCAACCGTCTTGTTCCCTCCGACCCCCACCCCTCCCTCCTCTCTCGTCATGCTCTGGAGGTGGGCACCCGCGCGCCTGGCATCGTCAGCCCTTGATAATTTTCCACTCTGAGCATAGACCTCAGGTGGGCTTGTCAGAAACGTGTGGTGTGGGACAGGAGGGGACTGACCTTACCACCTCTACGCTGGGGAAACTGAGGCACGACATGTCGGCACCCTTGCTGATGAATCCGTCAAAAGAACATGGACTTCCTTGGTGCCATGCCAGGGCACCCTGTCTACCCCACCGCCTCCCCTCAAGCCTCCTGAGCTCTAGTCTCAGATTCCCCCTTTACCAGGGCAGCTCACCGGTCTGACCGGAAGCTAAACAACCGGAAAGGTGAGGGGTGGGGGAAGGGGAGATGTCAACAACTAACAAAACAAAGAAAGCTGGGCTTTTGAGGATCCTTAATAACCATGTATGTATCTCTTCTTTTTCTCTTCTCTCCTGTGTTCTTTCCTTTCCTGGCTCTGCCCCACCCCGACCCCACATCACCCCCAGCACACGTAGGACAGAGCAGAAGAACCCACTCTTAAGCTGGTCTCAGCCGGGATATGGGCTGACGAGGTAATGTCCCACACACAGGCACTCCTTCGCCTGCCCCCCAGGGGCCACATTAAGACGTTTCCAAAGTGTGACACTTTAAACGGACCTAACACTAAATATTGACTTTACGGTTATTTTATGATGCACTCAATTTTACAGCGAAGGGATTTTCAGTCGAGCTTTCTTTTATTCCCTGTCCTGAAGGAGGTAAAAGGCTATGAACGGGTAACTTAAGACAGACGCCGGGTCGGAGCTGAGTCAGAGAGCTCTTCTCCATCCAGTCATCCCCGGACAACTTTGAGATGAGGGATGTGGAACCGCACTCCGGTCATAATTAAGTGGCAAACATCTGGGACTCCTCCCTCTCCCTTCCCTGCCCCCACCACTAAATCCATCACCCGTGAGGTCCTTTGTCACAGCCTCGTTATTAATGGGTCGCCTGTCTGAGAACGTGGCTGTGTGTGAAGGTGACAGAGTGTTACCTATCGCCTTCCTCCTCCCCCCGCCGCCGCCAGAATTCCTTACCAAAGGACAAATCTAAAGATACTCTATAACTCAGAATGACTGGCATTTTGGGGTCCCACGGTTTCATAAGGCAGGGGGCAAGCTGGCTTTCAGTGGGTAGCCACGGTGCAGGTGGGAAATCATGAAACACGGTTACTGAGAGAGTGTCCGCCTGTCACACCCGGGGACTCTCGGGATACCCAAAAGCAGTGTTTGACATGGCCTCACCTGCTCGCAGTGTCCCGGTGGACTGAAAGGGGACAGATGTCAAACAAGCCACTGTCTGCGTGGAACTGCTGAAAAACCCGTCTCCAGATGGTGTCTGTGGGTACGCGGCCCTCCAGTAACAGCACTCCTGACAGCCTTCCTCAGAAGCCCGCATTCTCAAGAAGATTCTGATTTTTTATTTTTATTTTTATTTTTTGGAAAACTAATCAAATGCATTTTTAATCATAAAATTCAGCTATAAAGGACTTTGAGAAAACTGGTTAGCGACCAAACCTGAAGAATTTGAAATTTGAGAATTCAACTGAGTGTTTCAGAAGCATTCACCTTGCACAAGATTGACTACGTAATAGCTTTAACTGCCTTCCATTTTGTGGGTTTTGAAAAATTCATCTTTAGATTTGTTTAAATGGCCTTCGAAAAGCAAGACTGTTCCTTGTTCAACTTCGTTATTTATTTTATTTCTTGATGGCTGTGGCCAGTGCCTGGGGCGAGGCCCCCTGAGAGGCTCGGCAGACTCAGCCCTGTCATTTTCCAGTTAGGACAAGCACAGAGTAAGGGCACCGTTGAGGAAGTAACTCCCATGACTCAGGAGATCATTTTTGGCTCGAGTTGAAAGCAGTCATTTCTGTGTTGCAAAATAGAATGGGATCAACAGGTTGAGGGGGTGTTTATTTTTCCCATTGCTTAGGAAAGCTAACCCTGCTTCCCTTTGATGTCCCGGAAATGCTCCTGGCAGGCATGGGGTGCATCTGGCGGCTATGTGGGGCAGACGGCGGGGGAGGGTTCTGGGTGGCCTCGCCCTGGATGCTCCCTGGCCCCCGCAGTGCCACACCCTGGAGACCAGCAGGCCACACTGTGCTTCACCCTCAGCAGCCATGCTTCTGTGCACCTTGCTTTTGCATGTTTTGATTCATCTCCCATGGGGCAACAGCTCATGCCTTGCAGATGGCTGTAGGTGAGCTAGCTGTGTGTTAGGGCCCGATTAGTAGCCAGTCTGCCTTGGGTTCAAGTCCTGCCTTGCTTAGTAAGAAGATGAGAATGGAAGGCCCAGTAACAATGAGTCTTATTAGTAAGGTGTACATGGGATGCAAAACATTAACATGAAGGAAAGAGTTCCATTCCAAAGAATGTTCCTATATTTTGTAAGAGACACAAACAGAGATACTCATCAGCACCACTGCCATCTTGTTCATCACTCTTTGGTAATCCAGAGTTCAGTCTTTTTTCTGAACTGCCTGGACTTCGTGAAGGACAGAATCCAACCTCCACTGCCCTGCTCTGTGTTACTTTAATGAAGCTTCACCTGGTTCTCTTCTCTCTGTCACATCTCAGAATTCCATTTTATTGATTTTTTTCTCTCCATATTTCTTTCCAGTTCTATTGAAAAAAAATTGACACGTGTCGCTGTCTAAGCACATTTTATTCGTAAGCTGCCTTGCTAGCCCCGTTGGACTTTTCTGTTTAAGATGCTTGACCAGGAGTTGGGTCAAGTCAGGGATTGGGGTTAAAGGGACCAGCCTCCTCAAGTAACAGAGGACTGAGGGTCAGAGTTGTTAGGGTGTGGGTCAGAGGCAGGGCCGCTGTGTGGGATGCAGGCACTGAAATCCAGCCAAAGCTCTGCTAGACAGGCCATGCCAACTAGTGGATAAGTTTTTTTTTCACACACCAGTGGCCACCCTGGTCAGAATCAGGGGCAGGGACAAGTCAGGATTCATCTAAGCTCCCAAAGAATTCTCAGAATTTGGTCTTACTTTTCCAATAGTGATTCTACTCCCAGTGCCTTCTTTCTCCTACCGTAGAAGAAGAAATAAACATGTTGCAGGACTCGAAGACCCTTCCCTCCAAACTGAGGAGTGAAATTTACCTGTAATCGGCTTCAAAATTGAGAGAAAGATGAGAGGGGGAGAAATTAATCCTCTTTCATCCATTCAATAACTAAAGAAGGAAAGAATCTACATGGCCACCTCTATGCAAGCCACTGCCTTCTAGGAGAACATAGCAAGTATTATCATTACAACACAGAAAACAAAGTGCTCTGACAGGGGAAGACATGACGCTATAAGAGCCTTGTGGGGCCCCTAAACCAACCCCAGGGAATCCTGGGAAGCTTCCCAGGGAGGCGGCGTTCAGTGCTGCATGTGGAAGGCAACCCTAGCATGATCTAGAATAGGATATGGAAGGAAGAAAACCAGTCCAACTAGAGGAGAGTGTTTTTTCAAAGGCAAGATTCATTTGGGGGGGATTGTGATCAATTCAAAGTAAGGACAAGGAAGGGAGTGGAGGGATAAGCAGAAGGGGTCAACAGTGCTGTTTTCATGAAGAGTGTTGTATATAGCCTCACCCACAGAATTTGTCTTCCAAACAAGGATATTTCCACCTGGAGGGGGAAGTAAAAATAATTAAAGTTATCTAAATTTGATATCTGTATTTGCGGACCAATGACTTGATCAGTGGATTTATAAAATAATTGTATTTAAAAATGATTTTCTAAACTAAAATTCCAAAAATTCTGGACAAATCCTAAACGGAGGAGGATGCCAGTCCAACAGACATAAACTGGGACCATCCCAGCAATCTAGACAATTTGGTCACCCCGGTTGCAGACTGTGTCAGAAGATTGGATCTTTATCTTGAATGCAATAGGGAGATCTTCAAGAGTGTTATAAACTGTGAGAAATAATATGAGAGGATTTGGGTTGATCAGATTAGGTAACATACATAGTTGTGAGGACAGTTTTGTGGGTCGGGTTAGTCACAAGGTCTGGCTCCATTGCCTCCCAATTTGGGGACAATTTCTAGCAGTATTACCTGACTTACATTGTTCCCACACTCTCCTAAGTACTTTACGTATGTTAAATCACTTAACCGTCACAATAACTTTATGAGGGCAGCACTGTGAGCCCCATTTAATTGTTGAGAAAATTGAGTCACCGATAGACCAGGAAACTTTCCCAAGATCGTGTAGCGGATAAATGATAGAGTAGCTACTACCCAAGGAGTCTGAAGCTAGCATGTGC